GGTATAGAGTCTCATTGATTCTTTCTTTATTCGCGTATGAACAGAATAGGTATTCAAAGAGAAAACACTTGATCAAATGATTCTTTATTAAGGAATCCTTGAGTTTTCAATCTCAACGGAGGTTTATTCAACATGGAATTACATAGATATTAGATAGTGCAAATCCCGGATCAGTACATGGATATAAATTATCGAATAAGGAAATATATTAATGATGACGCCAGAGTTTTCTTCAACGCGGTCTTTCACTGCATACGCACGTGCATGATTTTATTTGTGGGTTATTTCTTGCTGGTGCAAGTTGGGCTGAGGTAGACTGACTTGGAACAGGGACATCGGCATTGCTTTTCCAAGGTTTGTAGGACATTCCTTTCGGAAATGTCCAGATTTACCACAACCTATACATAATCCTTGTGTCATCCAACATTCTCCTGGGTGATGTCTTCTATAAGTGTTACACTTTGGATGTTTCCACACTCTCAATTTGTGTTGAGTTAACAAAGGTTTTCTTCTTTTCGAGGGCGGGACACTACAAGTTCCAGTCAAAGGCTTCTTTCCTTTTTGGGTATCGCACGAATAGACTTCACACTTGAGATGTTTTTGCATATATATATTCGAGATGAACTTGGTCGGTTTAGAAATCAGCTTTGCTTTCACCTCTATAAGGTTACCATCATTGGTCTTCAGTTGAGGAATTCTTCATCATAAGTTGACAACAGCAACGACGTTCAGTCCGTTAATGCATACTAAGGATAATGTCGATTTCCGTGTATGGTACTTCAACGATGTTTTACAAAGAATTGTTGCTTAACGAATGATTTCGATTCACATTAAGTAATCGCATAATGTGTCCTAACGAGTCAAACAATAGTATCAGATACTTTAGATAACAGAGTTTATTGATTCTAAACGTTCATGTTTGAATCAGCGATTAGATCGTCTTGAGTCCATATGAGGATCTTTGACATCAGCTTCACAGATGTTTCTCAACATTTATCGTTTCTTCATAGTCGTCTCACTTTCGCACAATTTTGCGATGCAGATCAGTTTCGTCACTTGCGATGCGAAATGTACTTTGATAACATATCAGGAGATTATAAACATATCGTTTATTCTTTTGTCTCTACACTGAGTACAAAAGTTCAACTAGAGTCTACGCTCGATACGGTTTCAGTACTAATCAATTGTTATTTAACGACAATTCTAATAGAGTCATTTTTTACCAAGTAAATTCCCATACCTTTTTCCTGGAGCAGAGGGACGCGAGAGTCGTGGATGTGATTGACAATATATTTTTTTTTAATTCAATTTTTTTGATCCGAAGATCGGTTTTAAAACCATTTGCTCGGATACCAAACTGTAACACCCTAATCTGTCCAGGTCTGCAGCCCCTTTCAGATTAAAGTATTAACTTGGTAATCGTAAAAATTTAAAACATTTCAAACACTTTTATTTATCACAATAATATTTTTCATAATATAAACAGTACGGAGTTTTCCATATTGCGGAAGCTTAACAATCATAATCACAAACATAATTTGTTTATGTTCTTTAATTCAAAACCATCACATCCATTCCGACAATCTCGCCTCCGTCTGCCTCCAGGATCACGTCACTTCATTAACCTGCGTGTAGCAAATAAAACATACTACACGCTCAGCGTTGAAGCTGAGTAAGCATATCTAATGCATCAAACATCCATATAAACTGAATCTAAGTTCATAATCAAATCATTTGATATCATGCATATAATGTTAAGTTCAGATAATCAATAATTATTAAAAATTATTCATCATGCATTATTCAACATTTATATTCACATTCAATGTTCATCAGTCATTCATAATAATTGCAATATTCAATTCAATATTCATCATTCAATATTTACTCATATTCAATATTCAATATTCAATATTCAATATTCAATATTCAATATTCAACATTCAACAATATCCTTAAACTATTCTTAGTCTAAGGCCAATCACTTTAATATTTGTCAACCCTTAAACGAATTCTAGTTTAAATAATTAAACTATATTCCAGTATAAAATATTCCTAAATAATCCTTAAGCTAGGCCTAGTTTAAGATAAAAGGGTTTTGAAAATCTTAAACTTACCTTCACTTAAGGCCAACCAAAAACCGACAGCGTAGTGTTCACTGTTGGGTGGGTGGTACCCCCAAACGAGTAGGTACTCAAGTTTGGTTCTTGGATCCCGTACGTACGTTGTAACCCTAGCCACCGTGGTTCATACCCGCAAGGCCTAACTTAAATAGGTATATCTTAGAGTTCTTCTAGATACCTTTCAAATCAACATTAATATGGGTATATCTTAGAGGTCTTCTAGATATCCTTGACAATACATATTATTTTCACAATTATCAATATATTCATTATGATTTAATCATTCACAATTATCATTTTTAATCAGAATATTCATTAAGATTTAATCATCATAATTATCAATCAATAATCATTACCATAA